ATTATTAACATCAAATCTGTGTCAAAGCCCCTTTAATGCCACATTATATAAGCTGGAGGATGAGCGTTTTGAAATTTGAAAAAAAAAATGACAGAAAAAGAATTGAGAAGACCATGCACGTGAAAAATTTGTAATGGAACCTCCATTGGTTGCATACAGGCGCCCGAGGAACTCAAAGGACATGGTAGTAAGAACCAGATTGGATAATCCATTACCTAACGGAGGCTTTAGAGCTTGCTCTGACAGAAGATGTCTTCTCTGTAAGCACAGCTCTGACACAGCAGCTTTAACAGCCTCGTTACAGGCCGCAGCTACAGAATTCTAGGGAATTTGTCTTGGCAAACAGACAACTGCATATATCTCATCAACTGTAAAGTTTGTTCCAAACAGTACTTTGGGGAAACGGGAGATCTCCGCAGAAGAATCAATAATCAACGTTCGACCATTAAAACCAAGAAACTCATTGAACCCGTTGGGGAACATTTAACCTTGAAGGTCACATATGGGAGGATATGACAGTAGTGGTTATTGACCATAATCCGAAATGGACCGATGCTCAGAGAAAAGGTAAGGAAAAGTTCTGGATGCACAGACTGAAGTCATTCCGCCCTAATGGTGTCAACAAACTAAATGAGTTCACCAGGATGAACGTGAACTAGACCCAATTTCTGATTATAACAAACAAGTTTATTCTCTTTATATAGTGTTAACTTTACCGTTAATTCGCATAACCAATTCTGGAACAACCCACACACAGATTTAGTGCTTATATTTATGTTTATTATTTCTTTTATCCGATAAACAGTCCTAAAACATTATGAAATGTTAAATACATCCAAATTCATATTGTAAAATTCCCCTTACGTATTATCTTTCTTTGGTTTCTTTTTATCATGTATAGTTACGCTATTTTGAAAAAAATAAGACAGTATACGATTTACTACTTGGTCGTAATTAATTAGCGATAATTAATTCGTTCAATTATGCAAATCGCACTTCACCAAAGTACACCCGAGAGACCGGACGTATTTCATAGCGGTCTAGATTTCTTTCTTTACAACTGATTTTTAACTTCAAATTAAACACGAAACATTGTAAATACATAGTGTTTATTTTTTTAGTAGTAGTGCTAGATGTTTTTTTTTTGTTTTTCTGTTTCCTTTATTTTTATGACTTCTTTTTTCTTTGTCCTGAGGAAGGGAATGGGCGTCCCAAAAATTTGACAATTTCTATTGTACGTGTCGTTGGTAATTTTTAGTGCTCTATATAAAGAATGATTGCACTTAGTGTACAAAACGTGGCACCCGGTAAAGAAGAAGGTACGATTTTAGCTTTATTATGCCCTAAAATTTAATGTTTACAAAAAGTTTTGAAACTGGCTTAAATATTAGTTGAGTATAAGTTGAGTATATGACTGTGATAAATCAGGAAAGAATATGACATGAAGGAGTACCATTCTGGAAATATGAAGTCATTAATTTGATGCATTTCTCTATTTTAAACAGAAAAAGCCTCAAAAAGACCCATTTCAAGGGTTATTTTCCTTAAGAAAATAGTGTCCACAGTCGTCGCCCACTTTAATTTTTGGATATTTTGTGTATAATTCTTTGAAAAATCACATATCTCAAAATCTTTTTGGGCGATGCCTGTGGACAATATTATCTGAAAGAAAATTCTATTGAAAATTGGTGTCTTCTGCAACTTTTAAAGAAAATACGGGAAAATGAAAAAGTTTATGACGTCACAATTAGCATTTAGAAGGTCATGTGAGAAAAAATGATTTGTGTGATCTTTCTGCATGGAGTTTCAATGATTCAGAAAGCATGAGTTTTAATTTTTTACATCACTTTCATTTTTAGAAAAACACAGGGCAGGATTTGTATTGAAACCGTACCTTGTTCCAATTGCGCAAAAATAAAGTATATAAAATAGCCCCATGAGATAAATAATGCGATTCTTCTATGTCTAAATCGTAACTTTGCAAAATTACAGGAATTAAAAGTCCATGAAAACAAAGAACGAAGCTGTGTTTTGTAAGATGGGTCACTGCAATTCACGAATCTCCAATGATATTCAAAGTTATTCCGATTTTTAAAGCGGTAATACATGGTGAGCGCATTGTTGCTCAAATTTCTCCAAAGGACAGAAGGTGTATAACTGTTTGAAATTCATCATGTTTAAAGGGGAATTTTGGGCAAGCGTGCTCTCGGGGTAAACTTTTTGAAAAAAGGTACAAAACAGCGACCGTTTCCTTCACTATTCACGGTTATTGACCTCATTATGACCTGTTAAATATTCCAATTTATCACTTGATTTGAAGACTCGGGTAACTTTGTGAATAAAAAAAAAAAAAAAATCAATAAATCACGTGGCTTTAGCTCCGATACGCAATTCAGACCGTTACATTTTCAATTGATCAACATCCAAATATTTTTCTGCCCAGTATTTTTAGTAGTGCCAAATACAATGTATTGCTAAAATATTCATTATTTTGTAAGTAAATTTAACATTTTTGAATATTCCCAAACTGGTATTTTTTCTGTAATTTTGCTTATTTTTCTCTGTAATTTTACTTACTAGTATTTTTCTTTTTTTTAATTTTCCTCCCCAACCCTTCTTTTTGGTACATTTTTTTTCTACATTTTTGCTTTGTTTATTTTATATCAATTATGCATTTACGTTGACCTTGATGGAGGGAGAGGGCTAAAATAGGCTGACCATTCTACTCAATTCCTTTTACTTTTCTTAAAAGATATTCTTTAAATTAAAACATACATCTATATTGATTTCAAAAGAGTTCAATTATATACTTTTCAAAGGAATTCTTTAGGTATGTATAAAATTCCTCTTCTGGTAAAACCCAGGCCCGTAGGAAGTAATTTCAGTTTTTGGGGCACAGCCATACATTTTCAGTTGGGAGCAATACCAACTACCAAAAATTCCTTGACAAGCAAAAAAAAAAGGGGGGGGGTCAGAGGTAATTATTAAAAGGGCACAAGTGTATGGTAGTTATGTTTTCTATAGTGTTCTTTATATCGGGAAAATTAGGGGGGGGGCTCCTTGCCCTCCCCCCCGGGTTTCTACGGCCATGAAACCGATGATAATAGTGGCATCAGACGGATATTAATATTGTTTAGGTATTAGATCCATATTTGAAGACAGAAAAAATAATGATGCTACCATTCATACGAAATATTTGACAGATGAGGGTAATGGAATTTTAATCGGGCAAAATGTAATGATATTTTAGTTTTACTCCTTGGATTTAGGGGTTCGTTTGGGGGTTAAATGAGTTTCCAAGCCATAGTCTACATCTTAGCAATAGCATCATTCCTCAAAATGTTTTTGACTGTAAAAATATAGGTACACGGGGTAGAAGTACGTATAGATTGTTTAACACTGGAAAGCTTACTGGGGCAAAAAAATAACAAAACAAAACAAACAAGCACATATACAATTAATAAAATTGTTTTAGTGATTAAATATCACTACAGCATCGCAAAAAATGTTTTGTTTTGTTATTCCGTACACCAGTATTTATTGTACTTAAGTACGGAGAGAGAGAGAGAGAGAGAGAGAGAGAGAGAGAGAGAGAGAGAGAGAGAGAGAGAGAGAGAGGGAGAGAGAGAGAGAGAGAGAGAGAGAGAGAGAGAGAGAGATTTATATCATTTTTAAAAATTCAATACGTGTTTACATGTACAAGTAGGCCTGGTTTATTTAGAGTTGATTTTCCACGTATACGCCACGTAAATTGCGATCGCAACTTAATTACCCTATTTAAAATAGAAATAATTTCGAAACAAAAGTAACTTGTCATTCACCTGTTGTTTTTTTAAGTAAGCTTCTAATTTTTTTTAATTTACTATATGACATCAAGGATCAAGCAGAACCTACCAAAAATGGGGGAAAATCTGGATTTAGGGAGAGAGTACATGTACATCTTCAAGATTCTCCCCCGCACCCCTCTTTCCAAAAAAAAAAAAAAAAACCAAAAAAAAAAAAAACCAAAAAAAAACCCCCCCCAAACCCCCCCCCCCAAAAAAAAAAAAAACACCAAACAAACAAAAACGAAAACGTCGAAATCCTTGAGAAGTTTAAACATGTTCTTTGTGTTTACTTTTGTGCATATTTTTTTTTTAATCAAATCGTGCTGAGTAGTTCCCAGACCCATTATATACCTGGCGATAACATGTTTTCAATCGATCGATGAAATGCCCCGCCTACTCCGAATATGAATGAGACACAATTAACACCCAGCTCGGACAAGCGCAACATTCCGGAATCAACACCCACTAGTGGGCATTTTTAATTACATTTAATAAAACTAAAGCGCCGTTTTCAATGTGATTTTTTGCAAGTAATGTACCACACAGATAACAAAATATGGGTTAGGTGTAAAATAATTAAGATTTGAGTTAATTAGATGATGTTGGAGGGGTCCGAAAAAGGGGCCACGGCAATATGCTTAAGTGGAAACATTCTTTCCATCCTTGACCTTGTATCTATTTAGTAGATCCGACACTTAGGATATACAGTGTTGTTGGCTTTTTTTCTAGTGATATATATATATTTAGTTAAAACTTTAATCCACTATTATAAATTTCTGCTACTCAGAAAATACCTCTAAGCCCTTGGTTGTTTTAAAATGTTAATTTTATTGATTATTCTCTAATAATTTTGAGAAAATAAGATATTTTTATATCCGACCGTCCCGCAAAATATATAGTCCCTGCTTGATTTTAAACTCAGTGTACCATTTGTATTTATTTAGAAACCAGACAAGAATCCCTTCTTAAATTGCCTAGTTTGGAATATCTGATATCGTACTGAATTCAGTTAGATTAATGATTAGTATTATTTCAACTTTCCATGCTTTATGGGGCAGCAAATTTTGATTTGTAGGGTGATCTATTTATAAATGTAAAAACTCAGTGACGTAACTCTTTATTGAAAATATTTGTGACAAGAAGCATACTTTATTAATAATAATAATAATAAATATTTAATAAAAAAGAACAAGCATATTCTATTTTGCATTTCTACAGTTTTTTAATGAACAAATTTATTTAACATTCCACTGGTACCTAAAACATCAGGAAGTCTTTTATGGAGGAGGATAGTCATATTTAAGTTTTCTTGGTTTCATGAATTGCCTTACACTGTCATCAGTGACAGCATACCTCCTTTGACGATGTTCACCGACCAGTTTCTGTAAAATATCTATCAGTTCCTTCTTCAATGACCCTGTCATTAATTCACCGCTTGTATAAGCCTGTAAAAAAACTTCTCAGATAAAACAAACTGCACGTATAAGAAGTATAGAGACGTTTGAATAATGCCCCAGAAATTGCCCCAGAAATTACCTTTCGAATTTCTTCAAGTCGCTGGTCGTCATCCATAAAGAAAGTTAGATACTGGTATGAAACGTCCACCTCACAGTTTCCTCCCTTGGCTGTATGTTCCTCTATAGTGGCACCGCCTCCAGAAAATGCATATTTGTTAATCTGAATTTGAAAAAAAAAATATTATTTCATTAATGATAATGACATTTGACAAAATGCTTCTTTGGATGTAAAATTTCCTATTGTTGCAACCTGTCAGCAAACAGTTACCTTGTCTTTAATCTCCTGGTCTGTGTCTGTGACAAATATAGATGAATTGGGGTCGCTTGCACTCATTTTAGTCTGTGCTCCTTGCAAGGCAGGGAAAAATGTAGAGTGAATAAGGGCAGGTTTCAGACAACCCATCCTAGGAGCTACGTCTCTTGTCATTCGAAAATAAGGATCCTTCAAAAAAAGAATAACGTTTCTGCTTTTGAATTAGCTATAGTTTATCGATAAACCTTTGATACAAACTAAATTAATTGAATAAAATTTGGGGATAATAACAGTAAATTATTTACGCATTTTCCAAAAATGTAGAAAGAATTCATTATCATGTACATCTTCTTCCATTACTGTAAACAACATAATTATTGTCAGACAATGCATTCCTATAATCGATAACTCTATTTACCTGATCTATTGCACATGGGATGAGACAAGGGATATCAGATCTTCCATTAAATATTTCCGGAAACATACAGCTGAAGCTGGGAGCAGCCTGGATAGCCGGGAAGCTTATTTTCCCGATACTGTCACTATCCGTAAATCCGAAGATTCCTTTCACTTGGTTGTAGGTCACAAGTTTCTGGATTCTGCAAATTGTTCTGTAAAACGCAGGGCTGTTTCTGCAAAGAAGACATAGTAAATAGATTTAGGTTTACAGAAAACTTTTTTTAGAAATCAATAAGTATCCTCCTTGAATATAAAAGTCTGATATATTGCATGGTGATGGATGATAATGGTCATTTTATTTCAAGTCTTAGGAGAGGCAGACATTGATCAATAAAAATTTAACAACTCAAATTCCTGTCAAGCGGTGCGTTACTTCTCCCACCTACATCCTTGGAGGACGGACGTAGTTTCAAGTTTGTGAGTTTCCTCCTTTCTCCCCGGCTCTACAATTTTTTTGTTGTTATTTTGTTTTGGAATCGCTATCTGAACTTTCCCTATGTCAGTCAAGTCATTGGCAATTTTCAACCCATTTTCATGACTTTTCTGTTATAAGTCTATTTATTTCGTCAAGTTTTAATTACTCAAAGTTTGGATTATCTTTCTTTACTAAATTGGTTTATTTTTGTGTCTTTGTTAAAATCGTATCACATTGTTAATAATACTTTTGAGAATTTCAATCGAAGTATTTAAGTTTAGAAAGCTGGCAAAACACGACAAACTGCTTAACAGGCTTTTTATTCATTGAAGAAGGATAAATCTTAGTGTTTTTTATGATGAGATGATTAAAGAAAGAAATAAGCAATCCAATGGGTTTCTGGGCTATAAAAATACTTATTACATTAATGTTAATAATACTGAAGGCAGATTTGCAGAAAGTTAAGATTTTTTTTGACCATTCAGTCTGGAACTTAGGATATGTAAGAAAATATAAGAATTGGAAACAGTTACTTTATGAGATTATAAACTGAAAAATGATACGGAGGACAAGAAAATAACATTGACAGACTTTTCCTACTATATATAGTTGCATACGTTAGGAAGTCAAGATCACTAAAAATGAAGGTCTTTTCAACGTCAAAACCACATGCGATGATATCCTTAGCATTTTCAAACGCTAAATGGTTGGTCTGCTCTAAAGTTAGGTCTTTCCACAGAAACTTCTCATCATCAGTCAATTGAATGACCAGCGGCACGTCGAATGTATCTTGCAGCCACCTTGTGGACAAAATAACAAAATTGTTACTTTGAGAGTTAACTTAATAAAGATATTCAACTATTTCATCAGTCATTTATTTCAACATAAAAATTTATTATTGGATGATTTCTTAACAACTTTATTTTTCTATTTCATGTGTTATGACAGTTTAGATTAAGTTAAAATGGATACTTAGTGAAAATAAATGGAATGAGATGTCCCATGTGCATTGCCTCTGACGACGGCCCTCGACCAGTGTATAAATAAAAAGGCTTTTTCTGTTCGTAAACATTCAAGATCATTTCCAAATCCCTAAGGAATGAAAAGTACATGGAAAGTAAAGGGGGTTGATGTCTTTTTTAGAATCTTAGACACATCTAAAATTCACCGGTATTTCTATTTTACTGATTGTAGCAGATAGCTTAATTTCTCACATTCCTAACAAAAGGACCGCTAAAACTCTTTCAAAAAAATTCTTTTAATTTTTTAAATTAAAACCTTGTTATATGTTGGATACTTTTACGAAAAATACAACAATATTTAATTGGATCCATGGACTATCAGAGAGTTCCCTTGTTTTTGAACTCTCTTTAAGTTCAGTTAGTGTCCATACAAACAAGCGATATCAAGTAATAGCTGCTATTTCCTCGTTTGCTGTTATATTTAAATATTTTTATCGTCTAAATTGGTATAATTATTGAGGAGTATATAAAAAGTATATTAAAAGCTCACAATGCAGAATAGTCATGTTAACTTAGTGTACATGTAACTGCCAACCTCTTTAATCCATTCAGTATATTTTGAATTTCGAAAATAGTCTTTAAATCAAACTTAATGCTAATAAGGCCTATAACCAACCTCTGAGAGAAGAAAATCCCCCTTCTAAGAAGATGATGGACAGGTCTACCAGTCAGATTCTCTATTCTTTTTATCAAAGCATCATCTATCTTAGTGCTCCCAAACTTCCCTACGATTGCCAAGAAAAAAATAAGGAAAAAATTGTGACGTTTTGTACAAATCGAAAGTAGACAAACATTTAGCAAAAGATTTTCCAGGTTACATAAAAAGAATGATATTGGAAAAGTTCAATACAAGACGATAAGTGAGTAATTAAACACAGTTTAAATGTGAGATCTTACTGATGAGTTTATCGTAGTCCACGCCTTTGGCAGAGTGTGTAGAGACTTCCCATGGATTTACTATATCCTCCTCTTCTTCGTCCACTGGATTGTCCTTCAGGGACATTTTCTCAATTTGTTTGGGATCCGACATTTACTAGAATGGGTTTTCCTTAAACTAGTCTGGTACGGAGTACCCAGCCTTGCTATGAGTTGGCCGAAACTAAATAGAAAATGGGAGGAGCTTCGTGTACTTTTATTTCGCAATGATATCCAACTTTAATATTATTGGCTAAAAAATTATGTTGATGTGAGTATTTAAAATACACCAGTAAATGCTCTTTTTAAAACCTGAAATCACCAGAATTCACTGAATGTGCACGTGATACATGCCCATTTCTCAGGTATTTCAAATATTGCACTATTTATTGCATCATTTTTAGATTTTTCGACATGATCGTTACACAACTTCATTTTGGCGAATTTCAACTTTATCTATTATTAATGTCTTGTATTAATTTTTTAGCGTTCTGATATCCATTTTTTTCAAAAATTTTCTCTGTAAACATTAGAAAAGCCTATTTTCGCTATACTGTTTCAGAAATATGAATAAATATGAAAAATAAATACTTTAGAACATCCATCAATGTAATGAAGTGTATTTCAATTTTTTTGTCCTGTTGGCGTTCCTATTTAAACTTCGCTATAAAATGTGTCCTGCTTTTATAAAAATGATGCAAAACAGGATAGTAACTTTTCCAACCAAAAAAAAAAAGTTTCATTGGAGTTAGATAAATATCCGCGAAAATTAGAATTCCAATCTTCGAATTGCGAAGATAAGTTATCGAGAATTATAGTTGGTAAAGACATTTTTATATACTGAAACGCAAAAGAAACGCAACATCCTATTTTAAGGGGAAAATTATATATATGAGATAATTTTGTTCTAAAAAGTAAGGACATCTTCAACTTTGTAAACGGTTGAATGATTTTTATCCCATTACCGGAAGTTAAGTTTGAGTCCGCTTAAGAGAAATCAAATTTGCATGTTTAACAAAACATTTGGCAATAATATGGGGTTTTAAGGACTTGTATCTGTTTATCATAGGTAATGCAGCAATGTTTCGAAAATCAAATTCTCCTTTCTTTTCAATGGAAATGCGTACTTAAGTCATTTTTAGGAAGCCTTGGTATCGCTTCCTAAAATGACTTAAGTACGCATTTCCATTGCTGGAAAATCTTAAAATAAAGGTGATGGAGAGTTGCAGATGCAAATATGCACCACATCACGCCTCAACATGCTCTTGGGTATCATTAGCATGAATGACAGTCCTTGGACCGGACGTTCAAGGGTTGCTACACTGCGCTTGGCTAGAGAAATTTCGACCTCACCATCTGAAAAACAGCCGTTTAAAAATGGCAAAGAATATTTCTTTCGCTCAGGTCTCCAGATTGATGAGCCAACTGCATCGAAGAAATCAAGCTGCAACTGTTGCACATGGCAGTCTTGCACACTGTAATTGAATTGCCGGGGTGGGGGGTGTTTTAACATTCATGTGTTACTTTCTAAAGCTAAAAGATAATCATTTAACATTTTTACCAAATCTTTGATGTTTTTAAATCGAGTTTTAACTTACTGTATTCATTATTGAAAATCATTGGATAAAAAACTCAAATGTTTGTAGATTACTGCTTGTTGCGTTCTTTTGCGTTTCAGTATATAAAGCATAGACAACAACAAAAGATACAATGCAAGGGAATAATTCATCAGGAACTTGCGGGCATATTGAGATAATCTATTATGTCATGTTAGTACCATGTGATAAATTGTTACCTTTTAATATATAATAGTATTAATTTCAATCGAATCAAATTTTAAATGATGGCCTAACAAGTGGTATGAAAAATGTCAATCAGTATTCGACTTAATGACTCATTGTATTAGCTGACAAGGTCATTGTATCGGCCATAAAACTTGCAAAATGATGGCTTCAAACGACACTGTTGAAATTCTTGTTTTATCAACTTGTTTATCAATAACTTGCCTCGTTTAAGAAATTGTTCGTACAGAGAGCATGCTCTTGCATATTGATTCAAACATAAACCCCATATGATGGCGATAAGGATATATTGCTACAGAAGTAAGGGAAGTTTACGACAGAAAAAATGATGCCATCACGTTTAACATAAAGTTTTGTTACTAGGTTACCATAAATGTTATTTTCTAGCAAAAGATCAGAACATGAAACAAATGTGTCAGACTGTGTGGTCTCTTTCATCTCAAGCTCACTGGGATATGTCAAGTCGACACCAGAATGGATGTAACTAGTTTTAATTGATAATACGTCATCGATATGTCTAAATTTCGAGTTGAAGTCAACAGCAAGTGTTTAATATTAATATTAATATGTTCCACCTCGAACATTAATTTGATGTCCCAAGGAAAATTTACAATGTTCAAATTAAATAGAATGTAGTTTTATGCATAATTTACACATTGATTTGATAATGAAGAAATATTGGTAATTTATATACTCCATGGTACATTAATCACAATTAAGGTTAATAATTTTTTGATAAATGCAGTAATACTTGTTAATTCGCATTGTTCAAAAAGGAATAAATTTATCAGTCGGTTGTAGACTAGGAAAACTGCAACATTCTTCATTTACAACTTTCAATACCTCTTGTCTGTCTTCTTTGTCTTTCTCACACAAAATAATAAAAGATGATTTTCTTATCAACATCATTTAAACTACAGTTTTTACAAATTTTAAGATAGGAAGTATATTCTTAAAATTACCTAATACAATGATTAGATGAGGACATGACATTTTAAACCTAGTGAATTTTTTATTATATCATCATTATTTATCAATCAAAAACAAATAACCTTTCATTGAATTTATTGATTGATTGTATGTTGTTTAACGTCCCATTCGAAAATTTTTCACTCATACAGAGGCGTCACCATATACCAGTGAAGGGCTTCAAATTTTGACCTTTACTCGGCACTCCGGGCAGTGAGGAATCTTTATCGTGCCAACGCCTGCCGTGACACGGGGCCTCGGTTTTTAAGGCCTCATCCGAAGGACCCGCAACTTTCACTTCAAAGTGCCGAGAGCATGGCGAAGGAACAGTTGTTACTCATTTTTTATCGACTTAGGTCAGTCGCGGCCGAGATTCGAACTCACAACCTGCCGATCATGTAGCGAGCGCTCTACCGATTGAGCTACCATGAACGGTAACCTTTCATTGGAAGTAGATATTCAAACTTTACAAATGTCTTGAGTTTAAAAACTGTGTGCGTTTTACTTTCCATGTTAAAGGATTTTAATGATGTTGACTTATAAGAAGAGTAAAAATATGATTTTCCCCGTTTATCCGATGAAGACAAAGAGTACAGGGCCGGTATGAGCGGTCGACAGGGGATTCTAACTCCTCCATGGTACCTGATCCCATGCACCTCAAATGTTTTTAGAGGTCCATCTTTGCTCTGCTTCAAGTTTGACATTTTTTCATGGACTATGGACTTTTGAGCTTGATAACTTTACGTTATTCATATTTCATTTTAACTGATGTGATTCTTGACTAAAGAATCAATATAACCAGATTCATGTTAGACATTTTAATTAATGAGAAGTACTTTTATACCCATTTATGAACGCCCGAGTCGAACATGAAACGTTATATTCGATTAGTTAAAAAAAATCAAAGAATAAAAAGGGAGAAGAAACATATGCCATTTGAATAATTTCTCGTGTTTTTAAAAAAAAGAAACTTTAAAACGATTTTAAACAAAACTTCATTGTTTAATAAGTCACATAAAAACATTTGTTTACGGTTGCGGAATGTTTTCACATGTGAATTTTTTAAAATGAATTTAAAAATGACTTTAAACAAACCGTCATTGTATAATAAAGTTACTTTAAAACGTTTGTTTAGGGTATATCTAAATACATAGATGTATATCTAGAAAAGTCTTTAATTACATTTAAAGTGCAGGAACCATTTTTTTGAATGGATTTCAAGGCTACAGATAAGTGCAGATCTAGAATTGAATAGATTCTGAAATATCACGTGATTCAAATTGCAGACATAGAATATGTTTATACTCCCTTGCTATATGAATATCGGTTACTGAAATAACATCATAATGGCATTTTTCTAGCGCATTCTTGAGGAGTGCTATATATTACATATGTGTAATTTCTCATAGTTTCATACCAAGTATTCCCTAGCGTTCCCTCTCGCGTGAAAAGAAATGACAAACACCTCAGAAAAAAAACTTTGTGATATTTGTGGTATTTTGTAAGATTTTGAAGATTTCTATTGAATTTAAATTTTGTATATAGAATTTGCAATTAATTATAGGTACTTCAGATACTTCCTTTTATATATATATATATATATATATATATATATATATATATATATATATATATATATATATATATATATATATATATATATATATATATATATATATATATATAGTCAAACCTGTATTAAGCAGTCACCTGCGGGAACCATTAAAAGTGACCTTTATAGAGAGGTGACCTTTGAAAAGAGGTTCATCTTTTTTCAAGAAAAATTCTTTTCCAATTTATGTTAGTTCTGTGTTTTGAAACACTACATCATAGAATATAAAAGAAAGATGTGCTTTAGACATCGATGGTCTCAGATTTATCTTTAATTTAAAAAGTCTGAAGATTAAGTTCAAGATAAATTTGATGACTCCAACAAAAATATATTGAGTCTAATAGGGCACTGCCATTATCCTCCCTCCAAACAACAACAAAACTTTCTTTTATTATAAGATTACATTATCATGTTGTGCCATGAATAAAATATAATATATTTTTTATCTAAACTGCCTCTAAAAAAACAAGTTTAGTCAGTCCTGATAAAAAGTTGTATGTAAATAGTAGCGTAATAAACAGACAAGTGATAATATTCTCAGTTTATCAAAGCAGTGCACAATACAAATTGATATCAAATTCACAGGTGTTATGACCAATGAAGCGTGACTAATCCTAACTGTCGTCTTACCTAGTTGAAAATCACAAGATAATCAGGACACATTGAGTAAACAAAACAGTTAATTAGGGTTTCTACAAATAATACGTTTCCTATGTGTTAAAAACGGCCTGTCATGCATTTACGCTATTACACCTATAGGACTTGGACA